ATATATGATATCTCAGTGTCTAAACTGGTGATTTGAAAGTGCTGGATTGTCCAAAAAGCAACTCTAAACCCAAATGTCTTAAACTCTGAATGATATTAAACAGAGAACAGCATAAAATTATCACTGGATCCAGAGAATATTACGCATTTGTTACTAGAAAAATAACTGAAATGTTGTCAAACAAGTAACTACTACATTAGCTCTATATACATTTTTGGCTATTAGGAAAGTACCAGCTTAAATAACGAAACCCTGTAATATTAATGCAGCATGTAAGGGCCACTGTGGGTGTCCTGTTTGCTACATAAGACCAGTAAAATGTGAAATGTAAAATTTGCAAATATAGCCTGACTCAAACTTTGTCAAACGTCCACCAATCAAGGAGGCTGTTGTGTCATATAGTTTCTATATGATGTCCTCTATGCTGCAGTTTTTAGTTTAAACTAAAAACTAGATTTCTGCTCCAAGACAACCATGAACATTTACTATACAGCATAATCAAGTTGAATTAAATGGCTTTCTTGTTTCTTTTGCAGCCCCAGAACGAGCACATTGAGTTACATCGCAAGCGGCATGGCTACCGCCTGGACCACCATGAAAAGAAAAGGAAGAAGGAGAGCCGTGAGGCCCATGAGCGGTCCCACAAAGCCAGGAAGCTGATTGGGTTGAAGGCCAAACTGTACCACAAACAGAGACATGCAGAGAAGATCCAGATGAAGAAGACGTGAGTATAGAAGGAGAAAATTGTGCAGACCCTTAAGAATAAACCCCAATAAATAGTCAGACAACTCTGACTTTTCTCTTTGCAGCATCAAAATGCATGAACAGAGGAAGACCAAGCAGAAGAACGATGATAAGACCCCAGAGGGAGCAGTGCCAGCCTACCTGTTGGACAGAGAGGGACAGTCCCGTGCTAAGGTCCTCTCCAACATGATCAAACAGAAGAGGAAAGAGAAGGCTGTAAGTACCAGATGTAATCTGCTTGTCAGCTTCCACTTTTTTCTGAGGTTGTCAAGTAGAATGCCACAGTCAAGATCTCCTGCTTTTATACAAAACATACTTTTTTGTTAATTTACGTTAATGATATGTGTGGAAATAATGTGTTTGGTTTTAAACAGCAAATGTGTAATGTTTTCTGTAGGGCAAATGGGAGGTGCCCTTGCCCAAGGTGCGTGCCCAGGGAGAGACAGAAGTTCTTAAAGTCATCAAAACTGGAAAGAGACAAAAGAAAGCCTGGAAGAGAATGGTCACCAAAGTTTGCTTCGTCGGCGATGGCTTCACCCGTAAACCTCCCAAATATGAGCGTTTCATCAGACCCATGGTAAGATTGCAGTACAGTTTTAATGGAATTTTTTTATATGTCCTCCTGCACTTGAACTAAACTGAACACTGCTTCTTCACATGCATCCAGGCTTAATGTAATAGGTGCATTTCTGTTTTGAATAAGGGTCTGTCTCCTAATTGACCTCTTTTTCTGTATTCTACTTCAGGGCTTGCGTTTTAAGAAGGCTCATGTCACACATCCAGAGCTGAAGGCCACATTCTGTCTGCCCATCCTCGGAGTGAAGAAGAACCCCTCCTCACCACTCTATACCTCTCTGGGAGTAATCACAAAAGGAACTGTCGTAGAGGTCAATGTCAGCGAGCTGGGATTGGTTACACAAGGAGGAAAGGTTATCTGGGGTGAGTGCTCATCTGTGTGAATCCATAACTACATTGATCAGTGTATTCACATTTGTGCTGGGTTTTGTTTAAAAATTATGATACTGGTACCAATACTAGTACCCTAAAATTAAAACTAGTACCAATAGAGTACTTCATTTGATACCCACAATGTGAATGGCGTGTAGTGTAGTCAGACTTTTAAATGTTCTGGTGGCATCTCGGCCACTGAACTGCCAACTCCATCGAATGCACTCGACTACACCACACCACAGACTGTATGGGTTGTTACGTTAGCTGCTGCTGTGGGAGTTTGAGTACCGTGTCGGGGGCAGTTGTGAGATTCCGCCTGCACAAACACACTGACAGAGCTAACCGTTAGTGTCACATGGCTAATGTTACATTACTGGTTATTAACAGGTTTAACGACAGAGTTGAGCTGTTAGTTGTCAGTGTGAGTTTGTTGGGACTGTTTAAGGGCTAGGTGTAAACAAGCAAACAATTGGTTGCCTGACAGCAGACATGTCTTGATAGGTAAAGCCACAGCGAAGAAGCATTACGTCAACAGCGCGGGCTGTCGCTTTCAGAAGCAGTGGAAAATTAAATACCTTTTCACTGAAAGATGAAACAGTTGCTTTTGTCTCGGTTCAGATTTTTTTTAATCATATGGGGAGAGAAGCAACTTGCCCCTTGGTATTTTCACATTATCTAATCTGGCCCTTATTAAAAAAGTTTTGACACCCCTGCCTTAAAGGTATCGAATACCAATACCCAGCCCTAATTTACATTGCAGTACAGTAATGTGTCTATCTCCCATTGTAGTAAATGATTCATAAACATCTGTGCAAGCACTAGATATGTGTTATATGTGATAAAAGTCTAACTAAAATATTTCCTTTACTCCCCAGGTAAATATGCTCAGGTGACAAATAACCCAGAGAACGATGGCTGCATTAATGCAGTCCTGCTGGTATAAGACTCTTGACCTTTATACAGACTGTGCCCGATAACTGTAAATGTCCACGAGGAGTATTGATTGCAACAAAGAACAGGAGGATACAACAAGCAACGAATGAGCTTCAAATCACAGGAGTGTCAGGAAGATCACTGATGCTGCTCTTGGCAACACAACAGTTTTTGTATCTGAAGACACACATGGGGCTATTACTTTGTGAAATGTGATTTAAATAAACTTGATATGACACCAGATGTCTGGACTTTTATCTTTGCTTACCTGTAAGATCATAATAAAGTTAACCAGGATTAAACTGCTATATAATGTGAACGCATAGCTTATGTTATCATTATTGGTTTAATAACATCCATTCATTTATGTTCAGGAATACAGACTCAACACATAAAGCTGAAGAAAAACTGAAGATCTGAGTGGTAACACAAGCTATTACATTTGGTCAAGACATTGGAAAAATGCTCAGCATATAATTTAGCCTGTTTCATAAGAACAGTTGCATGCTTAACAGAGTGGTCAGCAGAAAAACAGTACAACAGTATTACTGTAATCATCTTAAATGTTTACTGTAATTTTTCATAGAAAGTCACAGCTCACACAAAAAGCGAAACTGCACTTGTCTCTCAAAACAAGCTTTTTCCTCTTCCTTCCTGTGTCATTGTGTGCACTGTGCTGTGTTCTTTGAGGGAGAAAAGAGCAGGAAGCACCTTACAATGAGTTTGTAGCTTCTAATAACACAGGACATCCAGAGCAGCAGGATAAATCTCATCAGAACCAAACAGTCTACAGATCTGGGCAACAGGCACCAGACATGGCCCCTGACCATGTCATTTATTTTTGGGTGCACTACACTTTTAACTATGCACATTTATGAACTACAATGAATGCGTTTCAATGTGAGGGCTTTCCAGGTGCAGTAAATATGCACCAACAAAACAGTACTGCCCATCCATCCTTGTACAAGTTATATAGTAGAGGTACAGCTGGTATAAAAATAAGCGTCATACAGTAAATTAAAGCCTCATGCCTTCATTGCAACCCTGCCCACCTGCAACATCCACTGACAAGTACCACATGTGTCATTACTGTTTATTTTTCTTCTTTGTTTTAGCCTCAGGCCTGACGTTGCACTTTGTTCAGTAGTGTTTTGCAAGCTATTTGATTATTACATAACCCCTATTTCAGTCCAAGATTTCAAGCTGCCACTTCAGGCGGGTGTTCATCCATCACATTTAGTGAATGGAGGAGAACCAGAGCTGAATGATTTCAGTTTAAAGGGAAGAGAAATGCTTGTGGAATTCACTAAGTTTGGTACATTACGTGACACAAACAGAAGCACGAGCATCACACTGGTGTGCTGCTTATTTAGCTTGTCTGTTCACAGACACTGGCTGTCTAGCTTCCTTTAAAAAAGACGGTACACACTCAACGTAAACATTCAGTGATGTTCTGTAGTATTCCCTCTTATTTTAAAACTTCACATGGACACACCTATTAGAAAGGAAAATGTTAGGTCAGCATAAATCACTTATGATCTAACCTCAATTTGAGGGTCAGCTCATTCAGATACACTCAGTATTGGGAAGGATACTTTTGAAATGTCAAGTTACACATTACTAGTTACCCTGTTAAAAATTTAATGAACTCAGGATTAACATCAAGCTTTTCAATGTTCAGTTTTTGTACTGCTGGTAAACAAGCTTTATTACAGTTTATGGAGCCAGTTGGAGCCATGTTCAAATTTCAGAAGAAAAATATTGTTGAATTTCCAGCACTAAAGGCATGCTTGTCTTATAACATGGCCACCCGCCCACACAGCCAGGTAATGGCAGACTCACACTGCTTAGACTAGTGTGTACTATTTTGATAGGCAGACGAGAGGCGGCGCAAATTCAAACGAGAAATAAATAAATCTCAAAATTTGAGTGCACACTGCTAAATAAATGGAGCCTATCTAGACATAGAGACAGAACCATGTAAGCCGTCCTATACTTGATGCTGTTGCATTTAAATTTGACCCAATGGCTTCACTGACCCATGATGTCTGGCAGTACACTGAAAGAAATGATTCCAGCATGGGAACAATGCAAAGCAACAGAATGAATGCTATACTCTACATATAACCTTTTTACTTTAAAGAATATCTTGGGATGTACTAGTTTGAATAGTAACTGTAATTTAATAGCATTTTTTTTCTCTGTAACAGGTCACAATGACATTTATTCTGTAATTTAATTAGTTAACTGTGTTACATGTAACTAGTTCCAACACTGGATAAACTGTAGCTGCTTCTGTTATCTGTCACCCTGTGGTTTAAAGGTCTCCTCAGCCTGATGTGAAGCATGTATTCAAAACAGCGACACCAAAAAAAAATTCATTTTTTATTTGTGATTTGTTTGTTTTTTTGCATTTGTGGTGTGTTTACAGCAGAGAAGCTGGCAAACGTTGGCTTTCCATCCAGACCAACAATGTTCTTTCGCAGTCCACTTAAAAGCTCCTTCACCTGCAGGTAGCTGTGAGCAACTGTATAGAAAAGATATCATTATTTTTTTTTGTTGTGGTTGCTCAAACTCAACTGACAGAAGATTTCCTTCCACAACAATATTCGGGAACAACCATGTATGACTTCCTCCTCTTTGAAGACAAAATATAGTACAGAATACTGTGTTTTAAAGAAACATCCTGGCTGAATTTAAAATAAAATTAACAGAATAATCAACCACTTTGTTATATACAATTTCATTACAATAAAGAATCAAAAAAAATCAAGTTTTGGTAAAATTTGGTGTTTGGTGTGAGATCCTGAGATTCCAAATTCAGCTACAGAGTCCAGTCACGGTGGAAATAAAATTATAACTGTAAGGCAAAATTACACCTGGAAATATTTCACTATGCACACATCCACATGAATTACAGTGTATATTACTCATATAACAGAATATTTTGTAATATATACCAAATTATAAATTAAAAGCATGTGGCTGCACAGTATATTTTGACATGGTGTTTTCTGCATTATGTATTTGAACAGTGACCATGAAGGCAAATTTTGACAGCTAATGAACTCATGTACAGTTGACATATGTGTAAAATAACCTTAATAGATCTAATTAAAAAAAAAAGTGAAATTAAAAAGAATTAAGGCAGGTGTTTCCTGGAATCCAAATATTTGGAGTACACATTTAAAAAAAAATGCACAACAGTGACATGCCATAGTTTTACTAACACAAGGACGCCCTGTTAGCCATTAAGAAGCTCTCAGGAAAACAAAACTCTCTGAGACTCTCACTGTGGTGTGACATAAAAGTGGAGATCAAGCCCCTTAATCACTTACAAAGGATCGCTTTCCAGTCTTATTATTTTTTTATTCAACTGGCGCTGTTGTCTTTCATCAGGCTCCGCATCCTGTGTAAGCGATATGCAACATCGGAGAAGGCCTGCTGAAATCCTCCATAAGGTCAGACAGAGAAACCTCTGCAGGGACCTCTACAGAGTTCAGTCAGCTTCACTTCCTCTCTTTAGTCATTTGGCTGAGAGCGTTGTTCTTTAAAAAAGTGCACATAGTGATCGAGCGCTGCGTCCATCGGATGCTGGCATTATGTGTAGTAGTCCAACTTGCTCTCTATCGTCTTGCAGCCTTTGACAGAGAACACTCGCTCAGTTTTGGGGAAATAGACTAAATCTCTGGCCACCTGGTCTGCCACGTTCTGGTCTGGCTGAAGTCCTCTGGCTTTCATCTCGGCCATGGCACACTGGATGACGTGTCGGTACTCCAGAGGCAGAAACGGGACGAAGAAATCCACCAAGTTCTTGTCAATCAAACTTGTATGCCACAAGCCACCTACAGGAAGAGATTAAGAGATACTTTGAGTAGTACACGAATCAATGTTTTTCATCCAATCTAGATTCTGAATGATAATAACAAGAAGGGATTCAGTAAAACAAATAAACATCTGTTTAATTTATACTCACTCTTCTTATTGTTGAACACTGACAGAGAGAGCACCGTTTCCAGATCTTTGAGCTCGATCTCTTCTCGATCCCGTCCTGCTTTCCAGAAATCTAAAGCAGTCTGTATGATGCTCTCCCCTCCTGCATTACTAAAAGACCAGACACAGGTAACATATTAGAATTTGCCTCAGACTGCAGCAGTCAATGACTGTATTTTTGTGTCCTCATCAAGTAAATCTCAGAAATGCTGCAAGATTCAAATATTAAATTGTTTCTATGTGTCACTGCTCTATTGGGTCATGGAAATAGTAGCTTTAAGCCCCAACACACCAAACTGAAACCAAGTATATCTCAGAGGCTGCAAACTGGTGCAAAATGTTTCTACAGTGAACACAACACAGATGTATTCATTATTGTCAGACACAAACTTGTGGAAAACACTGACAAAACATCTCATCAGTTACATTACATTAAATATCACTGAACTTAGGATAATATTTCTGCACATACATTCAGCTATTTGTGAAAGGAATTGCAGAAAACTACAATTTAATAACTACAATTCTCCTTTCTTACTGCATTACTAAAACTGAAATGTTTTTTCCCTTTCAGTACTTGCTATAAGGGGTGGGGGGAAATGTATTCAAACAAGTATTGCAATGTTATTTCTTTATTTTTCTATCAGTTCACTTTTTTATTTTCTAATTGATTTTTGTGAATTGATGTAATTCAAGTGGGGGAAAGATGTTGCCGCTTTTATTGTGGTCATCTATGAGTAATGAGACTTCATATTTTTTTCAAGAAGGGAAAAAACAAAACCAGATGCGAGAAAGCACAAAATGGCGGAAAGTTTGATGACACGGAACTCCAGCTGCTTAAATAGCAACTCGAATTCAGCCAGGCCAGCGCAAACACCCTTTCTGTTGCTGAGGTTACACAAATAAGGCCCTGCCCACTGTGAAGCCCCTGCAATGGAGTTTGCGCCGGCTGAATTCATGTTACTTTGGTTGCTACTGAAGGTCCATTTCCGTAGCTTCTGCCTGCTCTCCTCTCAGCAACTAGTCTCCTAGAGCGGGGAGTGAGGCGCTTTTCAGCTGCGGGTTGGCTAGCTAGCTAATGCTTGTCTCAATTATGGTCTGATAAACAGAAAGAGATGCAAGGAGGGGCTGGGCAAATCAACTGACTGCAAGCAGCTCTACCATGAAATAAGATTTTACTCATTTTAAATAATAAAAAAAATATATAGAGAGAAAATAAATATGTGGCCATCAATATTGACACTGTATCAGATGCCACAAATAAATCAATGTATGGAAATCCCTGCACTAGCTTCATAAGCAGGGACAAGTAAATGTAGCAGCTTAAATGAATACTTCACATGTAAAATGACCATTTATCTATCAGTTACTAACAGCATGTTACCTTGCGCCCAGGCACACTATACTCGGCTGTGTAATATACTGTTTGTAGTGACGTGTTTTAAATCATGTTTTTGCATGTGTTGGGGAAGCAGTGAGCATGTGACTGGTTAAATGTGACTTGGATTATCCTGCACGAGTTGTGTGAGAGTGTGTAAACGGATGCTTTGATACTTGACTGTTAAACAAGACCCCTGTTTAATTCAATTCATGAGTAATGTTTGCCCTTTTTTTTCAATGTAACACACAACAAGTAAGTGCTATAGAAATGATAATTTTGCATGTGAAGAATTATTTAAAGTTTACTTCAAAATGTATACATTTTTTTACTCTATAGTACATGTACATCTAAGTAAGTAAGCAAGTCAGTAGTATATAGTCTTTCACAGAGCAAGGTCACAAAGAGCTTCACTGGAGTGACATTTTTAAAAATTAACACCATTCAAACAGTTATTAGTTTATGAAAACTTTTCTGTATGTGATGTGCACTGTTTTTGAAATGATAACCAGTCTCTAGAAGGGTATGATTCAATTTTTTCCCATGGTCTAGTGTTTAAAAAAAAAAAAAAAAGCAATAAATATTAAATCACAATACTTGTAGAATTGCAATACATATCAAATCGACACCCAAATATTTCGATAGCATCGCATCAGGAGATAAGCATATCGCTGCAGCCCTACTTGCTATTAATGTATCCATAAACAGACAAGTGGTATGCTTTCTTTTCCAGGACTGATACTCTTCTATGGTTCCGATGAAAATATGTGACAGGTCAGACTTATGGGATGCGTTTAACTTCTCACCTGAGGAAGATGAAGATGGCTTTCCGATAAGAAACTCCATCCAGCTTGTCATAGTAGTCCAGGTACGGCTTTATGCTGTCAATCAAGCCAGGATGCATCTTGTCCATCTCATCAAAGATGAACATGGAGTGTGCACAGTTGGTGACATTGCCTTTGATCCACTGCTGTAACTGAGACTGAGGAGAAACAGTAGCACATTCATATAAAAGGTCAAACAGTGCACTGTGTTTCAAATCAAAGTAATTGGATTCTTACTGATCTGGATTAATCATCATACCTTGTAGGTATCAAATTGACTCGAATGTGGGAAGTGAAGTTCAGATGTGAAAACATGAACGAAGCTGCTGTCCATTCCCTCCTTGTAAATGTTGTCAGCAATCAGCTGGCTGACAAAGTTCTTCCCTGTGCCGGTCCATCCGTGCAGAGAAAGCACCAGAGGCTTCTTTGGGTTGTCGTTGCTCATGAATCCATTCACAGCTTTCAGGATGATGCGTGACGCAATATGCTGTCCGAATAGTTTGCTGTCCAGGTCAGCTTTGAGACCTAGAGAGAGCACAGCAGAGAGTCAACAGGATGAACGGCTGCAAACATCTGACTGGATCACCGTTCTCAGCATCACCCCCAGGAAACTGTTGGGCTGAGGCGGTAAGCCATCAAAAGCTTGACCAATCTCACATCACAAGCCATTTAATGATGAGGTGACAGCTTAAACAATGGCCACAGTCATTAAATACATCAAATTAAACCTAATTTGTATTAAAGTGCTTTAAAGGCAACTGATAGTAGCTTATAATAAGAAAGTATGAATATTAAAAAAGTATATGTATTAGACACTAATGCACACAAACACAAAGATCATATCATTGAAAAAAATAAAACTCATAAAACCGAGCACTAAAAAATACGAAGAGGACAAAACATACATATAGCTCCACTTCAAAAATCCAAAGTATCCCTTTAATCAAGGAAACATTTGCAAGTATAATCAGCAAAATTCAAGTATGAAGTACTCACTCTGCAGTCAAATGGTCCCTGTGTCTGTGTTTTACAGATATATAGAGTATTTGTTCATTTTTAATGCTGCATTAATGTGTATGTTGCATTTTACGGCTGTAGCTGCTGAAGGTTGTGCTAATTTAATTTAACTCCTTAATATCGGGCTTGGGCAATATTTCCCTGGTGTATCTATATCATGATATGAGACTAGATATTGTCTTAGATTTTGGATATCGCAAGTGTCTTTTACTGGTTTTAAAGGCTGCAAAGTGATGTCATTTTCTGAGCTTAGCAGAACGTTGTTTTATTATTTGCCTTTACCCACTTTGCCATTATATCCACATTACTGATGATTATTCATCAAAAATCTCATTGGGTATATATTGTGAAAGCACCAATAGTCAACTCTACAATATTGTCGCAAAACTGAGGTGTTTGGACAAAAATATTCTGATGCAGGGTTTGCTCCAATATCACACGCTGTAAGGTGATATTATTCTTGTAGTGGCACTGTCATGTGACAACTACATACTAAGTGAAAAGTCAACTTTTAACGTTGTCAGGGAAACAGCCCTGTTCTCAGCTTTGTAATGATGCATTTTCCAGCAGATCCAAAAGAGTTTCTACAGTTTATTTAGCTAAAGAAATTAGAAAATGTTCTCAGCAAATACAGGAACATGTCATCCTTCACTTTATCAAACAAATGTGGAGTGCAGAGTATAACATTTGCCTCTGAGATGTTGTTGAGTAGAGGTATAAAGTTGTTTAAATTTGAAATACTCAAGTAAAGTACAGGTACCTCGAATTTGTATTCAAGTGCAGTGACGTTACTTGAGTAATACAATACAACACTGTAAGAAATCCCTGTATCTGACTGAAATCATGGCCTAGAAGGATGTGAGTAGTGTCTGAAATGGCCCAACGTTATTTACTGTTGAAAAGAACATTTTACTCCGTTATTTAGGTTTCGGTTTTGACGGTAAAACACTCCCAAGTCTTTTTTGACGTTTGACCACTGACGTCCAGACTGCTAGTTTATGTAAATAATTACCGCAGCTTTTTACCCTAAGTCACATGAAATAGACACTATATATACACATGTGCATGCTCACCTGTTGCATTGAAAGCTATCCATTTAGGATCGCAACTTTCGTGTAAATAATTGTAGATCGTCCGCCCCAGAGCCGCACCGATACCTAAAACCACTGTTGTTGTGAACGGCTCAAACGTGTGAACCAGCACACTGGCTGACGATAAAACGTGTAACATCAAATACAAGTGTGCCGTTTTCATCGTCGAAACCGTTCACTTCCTGGCATCAGTCGTTCTTATGCTTATTAAAAGCAACCATAATACCAACGGTGCAAACCGCGCTTCAAACAAGCAGGCTAACTAGCTAGCTTCTTTCCAACGGGGAACTTCCGTATGCGTCATAAACACGCGACAAACACGACGGGCTCTGTTCAATACAAGCAAATGTTTGGCAAGTTTCTAAGAGATGCGATATAGATACATTAAAAGTATGAGAGTGGTTTATACACACGTTTTTACAATTTGCGTACTTGTACAACTAACTTACGATGTAACAGATGTACCCACTCGACTAACATTTTACAGTTCGTTGATAATAAGCTAGCTAACAGTTTTTAAGTATGAAGACATCACAAAGGTGGCTAATGTGTAAGCTGGACACCCATGCGTTACCTGTCCTGTTGAAGGAAATCCACTCAGGTCGACAGCACTCGTGGAAATAGTAGAAAATGTTCTGGTAGCTAGCTAAGAACCCGGTGAGAGCCGCTGCCATGCCCACCGCTATGCTGGTGCTGATGGGCTCGATCGCCTCCGTCATGCCGGAGCAGACCAGCATCCACAGCAGCAAGACATGTCTCTTCCTCGGCTTCATTGTGTTGGGGGCACCGCTTCATTAAACTTAGATTGGCCAAAATTAAAAAAGAAAGAGTAAGTGTGTCCGCGGTCGCGTGAAATTCTCTGCCGGAGCGGACTGAGTCCACACGGTGGGGCGCTGTGTGAGCTCGTCATGCACTCGGAGTCGACGTTACGTCAGAGTCCAAAGGTGACGTTCAGCTGAGGATAAATGAAGTCCCGCCACGGTGCCCAGACTTTTTATCTATTTAACATGATAAATATTCTAAGGGAACAGCTTTTACTGTTGTTTATTGCCCTTTACACTTTACTGTACATTTATTTGCACTACCTGTGTTAATATTTGCAGTATTTCTGCACTGAATGTTTCTACCTTATCTTGTACCTTGTTCTGTAGGCTACCTGTTTTTGTATCTTGTCGTCTGCACCTTGTGTTCATTCCTTTATTCTTTTGTTTTGCACCAGGAAAACACAATTTTCTTCCTCTATGTACTGTACTGTACTGAACTGTACTGTACTGTATGTAGATGGATGACAATAAAGTGCCTCTTATCTTATTTTGCTCTTATAGGTGTACCAGAGTAAGGATAAGGAGGAAGCAAATGCATCACAAATATTTTCAGGGGGATATTATGTTCTTAAACACCTTTATCTGTGTGAGGATTAATGTATTTATTTGTTATTTTATTTATTTTGGGAAAGAACATTAGATTTATTTGCAAATTGGATTGTTGCACACTGATTGTTTTGTATAGTAAAGAATGACAGTATGACAAAACACTCTTTTTAAATTTCTCCTTTTATTGAGTTTGAACAATCATCAGTCATGCTCATAGGACTTAATAGCCCTATATTTCAAGGCCTTCTGTAGGACATAGTTATGGCAGACGGTAACATAAAAGTGAGTTACAGTTTGTAATACAGAAGCCAAAATGAACCGATTAAGTAAATGTAAATACAGGTATGAACATGGATAAACTAATACGAAAAAAGAAACTGAACTCAATATATAGAACAAAAGTGTTGGGGTGTTTTCATGGAAAAAACACTTTGGCTTGACAAGGGTATATATATATATATATACAGTACAGGCCAAAAGTTTGGACACACCTTCTCATTCAATGCGTTTTCTTTATTTTCATGACTATTTACATTGTAGATTCTCACTGAAGGCATCAAAACTATGAATGAACACGTGGAGTTATGTACTTAACAAAAAAAGGTGAAATAACTGAAAACATGTTTTATATTCTAGTTTCTTCAAAATAGCCACCCTTTGCTCTGATTACTGCTTTGCACACTCTTGGCATTCTCTCCATGAGCTTCAAGAGGTAGTCACCTGAAATGGNGCTAACGCTGCTGCCGAGATACAGCTGAGGAGGAGCCGGCTGTTAATGCTATGTACCGGGACACTGCTAATGCTGCTTGCTGTGCTGCTGTAGCTCAGTCGTAACTGTAACTGATGCTGAGACTCTACTGACTGTGTGACTGGTAGACGGCGGTGGGTGGCGCAACAGGTCAAAACACAAATTCAAAACATAAACATGATTTGCAGACTGTAAAATCTTTTTTTAAATGTGAATATTCTGGCTGTACTATTGTTGTCGGTGAGATCAGTATGTTATATGAACATTATTCCTTAGTCTCTGTGACATATTAGGAGGATTTTATGACTATTTGCTTTAGATTTCTTACATATAGCTCCTTTAAAGAATGATTTCCTGTTGTTTTATTCTCCTTTCTTTTTTGGTGCTGTCCTGCCTCTTGGTTGAGCCCCACCTGCCGCTCATTAGGCTGCATGTTTGTTTGGGATTGTTGATGTTTGTCCAGTGTTTTTAGAAACACAAAGGATATGTTTGGATGTTACTCCTGACAATTTTCAAAGTAAATCATAGTGTCTTAGAAATTTATAATATTTTCTAACTACGAAGTAGCTATGTTTTCCATCCATTCTGGTGCTGTGTGGCTATTTGTTAAAACTTCTTTTTTCTTGGTCTCACAGCAAAATGATTTTATATGTGCTCAATTGCTGGAGAACATTGAAGTCAATTGAGGAGATTTTTTTGTTCTGAGAAATTAATAAATAAATAAATAGACGCCACTGGAAATACCATTCACAAACTTGAACACCACAGGCCTGTCCTGCTTTGGAAAAAGGATCAGTTCTAGAGTGATTTTGACAAAATTGAATGTGAGAACCTTTGATCATGTAAAAGCTAATATACAGCACCAATTTAAAAAAACAAAACAAAAAAAAAAACGAGACGTTGTGTAAAACTTAAAGAATAGCAGAATGCAATGATTTGCAAATCCTTTGTTGCTTTGTTTTTTGCAGTATACTTACTCATAATGTACCACACATTTTCAGTGGGAGTCAGGTCTGGACTGCCGGCAGGTCAGTCTAGTACCTGCACTCTTTTGCTTCAGAGGGGTCAGTGGAAAAAGGTTAGACAAGATTCCTGCATCTACTTTTCTGTCACAGCAGAAACTATCGTGCCCTAATTTAATGCTGCCATCAGTCTGTGGCTGGCCCGAGTTGGACCTCGGTCAAAAAATACACTTAGCCGGAGTAAAAGACACTTTTCTGAGGTAGACTTTTACAAGAGTGCTCCTTAAATATTCAGGTATTTTGACAGACCTTAGTTTCACTGTGGAGGTCTGTGATTGATGTTATCAACACTGTTACAGTTCAGACAATGAACAGCAACAGTTGGGTCTTGTCCGTATCATTTGTAGTGATGTCTGCCTGCTGTAGTCGCCTAATGTTCCCCTGAAAATGATGCAAAGCAATAATCTGCACAATATAAAGGGGTTTCTTTGTGGTCACCAGATTTTTAATGGCATCAATTGCTCAGTTCACTCAATGAGAACAGTGTAATGAATGTGGAAAATGAAATTACTTTGCTGCCCTGAAGACCTCGAAAAGGCCACATTTAAGATCTATTACAATATAATGACCAAAACCAGTGTGATGTCTAGTTCTATATATATATTCCTGTACTGATATTATATATGAGCAGACTGTTAGCTATACCTGAAGTATACTTGATTGGTTGATTGGTATACTTTGTTTTCCCCCTTAGGTGCTGAACATTGAGCGGGTGAAGGCTCTGGAAGCCTGGCTGAAAGCGACAAATATAAAGCTGACACAAGTCAACGGCCAGAGGAAGTATGGAGGACCACCTGAGGGTGAGAAAGGCTGCTCAGCTCAAACACACAGCACTTATACAAGACTACAATAAAACTAGCTCCTCGGAGAAACTCAAAGATACATACATGTGGAACTAAGTCAGTCGTGTTATTTTCTATCTAGGATTACTTATTTTGTTCAAGCAACAGTCCAGACACACCGTGCATTAACACATGAATGTGTGTGTAAACTTATGTGGTCACAGCTATAGAGAATCCATATGTTTTTCCTTTTTTTTAATACTATGTATCACAGTTTATATATAACCTGTACACATGTTGGTGCTGCAGTGGGTATTCAAGTGAAAATCTTGTGTTATGATGACAATAAGGCAAAAAAAAAAAGGATGCACAAACCCAGTTGATAGGACACTGTGCAGTGAGTCATTTGAAGTGATGTACAATTGTGTTACCACATTGCTTGTGTTTAAGCTAAGTAGCCTGCATTACCTAAAATAATCCTACTTATAGTTGCTGCAGTTAAAATGTATTGTCAGAAATGCTTACGTCTCCATGATTGGGGCTGTTGCATTCACTTGTTGCCTTCTCCCCCTAAAATTCTGAAATTCTGCCTGGTTCTGTGCACTAGTTCAGTCCGTCTACTTCCTGTCTGCAGGTTGAATATGGCACATGGCCATAGTGAGAAAAGTTGGAAACCGCAGGATTGCTGGTTGGAATCCCGACTTGGGAAAGCCAGTCTTGTGATCGACAGAAAATCGTCAGTTTGGCAGCTCGTTTAAGCCCAGTTGGGTTAAAAGAGATCCTAATAAAAACTCATATCAGAAGAAACCTCACCTCAACCTGGCAATTGTACTTTAGCATAGCTATACTGGTTTTAAGCAAGCAGCAACATCCAGGGCTGAAAAGTAAGGCCAACACAAAGTGCCCAAGGCTGCAGTTCCTCTAACGGCCACTTGATGCTGGCTCCAAAAGCGAGTAAGTCCCCATCATAGACTGTATAACAATATGGACGTATTCACCGTGACGTCACCCATTGGTTTCTGAGGAGCAGGTTTGAAGCTCAAAGTAGGCGGCTCTGGCCGTCGCCATCTTGGCAGTGCCTGACTCCGCCCAACTCCCGGCCAATCAAAAATGGGCAAAGAGGCGGGCCAAATGAAGCCTGGTTGCTTAAACACGCCCACCTCGCTCGAAGCTGCTAAGTTTGCTAAGGCTAACAAGCTAGGCTAACAAGCTAATAGGGGTGCAACGATACACAAAATTCACGGTTCGGTTCGGTTCAATATTTTAGTGTCACGGTTCGATATTTTTTCGATACAAAAAAAGAGAAATTTCCATGCCTTTTTTTACTTGTAGTTTATTAAAATTATCAACATTTTTGTTTCAACTCAAAAGTACAGTTTTTAAATTAAATTAAATGTATCTGGTGCAGCTATACCTGACACATTTTCTGCTGTGCATACTTAGCACCATATAAAACAAAAAGAGCACCTTGTAAAAAATAATAATCATAAAATAAATGCATCTGATAAATCACCCATCTTCTGTGGTGCATTCTTAGCAGCAGAGTATATATTACAAAGAAATAGCTCCCTATAAATATATTTTGAAACATAATAATTAATATTTTGAAACATTTGAAACATTGTAACAACACAGTATCAACCAACAGTATGGTGTACAATTCTATAAGAATATAAAAAAAAATCAAATGAAAAATTAAATGTATCTGGTTCAGCTATACCTGACACATTTTCTGCTGTGCATACTCAGCACCATATAAAACAAAAACAGCACCTTGTAAAAATAATAATAATAATAATAATAATAATAAAATAAATGTATCTGATGGAGATATCAAATCGGGCTTTTGTCTTGTTGTACAAAGCAGGAACTACGGTATCGGTGAAATAGGTTTGTGAAGGAATCTTGTAACGGGGCTCAAGTGTCCACAGCATGTCCTGAAACCCGGCGTTTTCCACAACAGAAAAGGGTCGCATGTCGACAGCAA